GAGCATACTTCCTGCGGACACTTTTTTGGCTGAGTGGCCCATCTTGTTATTTACTATCTTTGCTTGTACTCAAGATAAGTGAGTAATTCTTTCACCAAAAGCAAGGCAAATCAATAGGCTACACTATAAGATAATACCAATAACGCTATATGCCCAAAAATTGACGAGCCCCTGATTCCACCGCGTTGTGACACATATAGTACATGTGGCTAATATTGAAAATTGAATTCGAAATCTTTAATTTGTCCGACGGTAGGCCGAATCAGAAAGTAGGTCACAGATAGGGCCTGGTCCAGGTGAGGAAAATCTCCTTCGTAGTGAAAGAGTTAATGATAAATAATAATAATAATAATATTGATAATAATAATAATAATGATAATAAAAATGATAATGATAATAAAAATAATAATGATAATAATAATAATGATAATGATAAAAATAATAATGATAATAATAATAATAAAAACGATTATGATAATAATAATAAATTTCACTTTAAGTGTATAGAGCGTTTCCACGAAGAAAGTGCTCAGTGTTCTTTACAGTGATACAAGGAACACGACCACCATACAGTTCCGATAGCGATCCATTTTCTCTATCTCCTTTCTTTAGTTTATGGAAAAATCTGTGGCAAAATAGGGTTGTTATCAAGCTGAGTTTATAATATTCTAGCTGGGTACCCGTTAGATGAACGGACTCAAAAGAATTAGTCTTCAAGTCATTGTGGATTTAGTGCGCCATGCTTGTAAACAGAAGCCTCACTTGTTTACAATGGCGTCTTTGAAGATGGACTTTCCCAAGATTCGATCTAAACGAAACTAATGAAAGACTGAAAATTAAATTGCAGTGACTTCAGACTCCTTAATATAACAGTGCACCCTTTAAATGATTCTGAACCACCATTAATTTTTTCAATTTCGAAAGTTAAGTGGTTCGGAAGTTTTAGGCGACCGAAGTGACGAACTTTCACACATATAATATTTATAGATAATATATAAATCTGCAATATATATATAGATAATGAATCATCCTATAGAAGCAAATCGAAGTGTGTAATAAACGGTTTTGTGCTTGGGAGGACAGTCAGTTATTCATGAAGGTTGGGAGGGGCTGTTGTGATATAGAGAGTCAGATGCTGATTTCAAACTTACTCTGTCTCTCAGTTGGTGTGTAATGGCTGGGTGTGTCTTCCTGTGAAAGAAATGTATTCGATTCCCAAGAAGAAGATAGTCTTTCAAATGTCTCACTCAGCCCATGTTGGCCCTGGTCGGTATGGTCAAAGCAGCCTGCCTTCTAATTGATGCAATTTGTGGATAAGGGTGTAAAATGTTTATAATTAAGCTCACATGAAAGAACTTCCTTCCTCATGATTTAGCCTGAATGTGGCAAATGTAGGATATTTATGTAGATCTATACTTTAGATTTACTGAATAGTTTGTTCTTTATAAAATCTAAAAAAATTTTTTTTTGCTTTTCTTTTGAAATACGTATTGACTCCTTCCAATCCTTAAAAAATAATAAGCACATAAATTTAAGCATAATCAACCATGGTTAGCTTATTGATATTACATGTGGAGGCTGCAATTTGTTCGTGGGTACGATATGGTGGAATTATATGTATAATGTTGTTGACCATCCATTGTCAGTGAGGTCCGTCCCTAAACACACTTCAGGCAGGACCTACCCATATTTCCCATGAAATTCTCTCCCCCCCTCCCCCCCCCCTTGATACAGATTGTGACAGGATTGTGTTTGATGATTTGCTTAGTAACTGCTTGTTTGTAACTGCTGCCTGAAGTCAAATATATTCTCCAAATTGTCAGCTGTTCTTAGAGACTTCAGTCTATGCTGCAGACTTAATGCGCTGGGTATGACTAACGAGACACTGCTTTGATAGAGCTGGTAGCGTTGTTTTTGCACAGTTTGAATTGAATATCAGCTCACAGTGTCATTTTTGTCTAATCCGTTTATAAGTCACTTAAGCATTGTTTTGACCGGATATACTTTAACACTGAATTAAAAAATGGGTCTTTTGTGGTGCGATCAAGGGCAGTGTCAAGTTTTTCTTAGGTGCAATATGCCCCTCCCCTCTCCCGTGGACACACACACACATTCACACAAACGCACACACGACACATACTCAAACATACACACACACACACACACACACACACACACACATTCACGCAACTACACTCACAAACACACATACACAATTCATGTTGTCTGTAATTCATCCATATGATTTCAAACACATTTCTTGACCTGAACTCACTAAATATCAAATCGTATTCATCTTCACACTCTTAAGGAGAGCAGAGGGAAAGAGTTATTAACATTTCCTTTTGCACAGTTATAATATTTATTGTGGGTGGTTGGCGGTTGCCTTGGTGTGGTTTGCTCCGTCTTTCTTATCAAACATCTATCGTCCTGATCTCTCCTTTTTTGTGTTTGTTACTCTCTTGTGACACCTCTAGTCTTCCGCACTCTTATGACCTTATTGTGTTGCAAGTGCCGTAAAACTCATATTAAAACAAAAGTAGATCTAATATTTATTTGGCAGCCAAAAAGGCTTGGGTCCCCAAAATTTAGAAGTCACCCTTTCTCCCTAAGCCAAGTGTCATTTCAGAATTGTAACAAGTGTCAGGTTTTGAATTTTTAAATAAAAACTTTATATGTGAGGCAGCGTGGTGGAATCAGGCTCTCGATAAAATAATTAAAGTGAAGAAACTTGCATTTTTCCTCAGGTTTGTGAATTTTTATTAAATTTTTGTTTTTTTGCTCAACACCTTTCATGCCCATTAAAGAACTCATTTCTGGGTGGATTTTTCTGAAAAACGTTAAATAAAGCCACATAAAAATGTAAATTTTCAGTTAACACACACTCAAGCTAAGGAAATAAGTAATCTTTGGCAGACATTTTCTCACTAATTTTACCCCTGATAACAAGTGACCCCCACTTCTTTCTTTCGCAAATATCTCGACTTGTATTCTAGACAAATGGATATTTTTTTCATCCAAACAAAGACAAGTGAACAAGCTTTAAGATTTATACACCAATTACTCTACATGCCCACTAATTGACGAGAGCCTGATTCCACCACGCTGCCTCACATATTTGTTTCTTCAAATCTCTTTCACCCCTCCACGCCTTCCATCTACTCCATGTGTCGTTTGTAGGTATTTAAGTATTACAAAAGGTGTGTTCTTGAGTTGCCTAATAATATGCAGAGTGATTTGTTAGTGTGCAGGGTGACGTGTTGTGAAAATTTGTAGTGAACTTTTGTAGTGATGATGTCCCCTGAGTGTGTTGCTCACTGCTGTGCTGTTTGAAATTGGCTTTTTTTTTGGTTGCTGTGAGATTCTGATATTGTTTTGATGTTTCACACGATTACTCTGTTTGTGTTTTGTGTGAATTTTACCTTGTTTTATAAGTTTTTATCATCATTGTTGGTGTTATTATTACTATTACTACAATTATTATTATTATTAATATTATTATCATTATTATTATAATAATTATTATACTTATTATAATTATGATCTATTTGCTGTTATAGATATTATTATCATTATCATTATCCTTATTATTCTTGAATGCTCACTTTGGATTAGAAGGACATATTCTTTTGTCTGTAAATATCCTACATTAAAACACCTACACACAGACACATGCACTGTACCACACTTAAACAAACACACACATACATACACACA